AAAAAAAAAAAAAAACACTAACAAAAAAAAAAAACAAAAAACACTAATTTAAATGGCATTGTACCCATTACGTGAGTTTGAAAAGCCTCTCTGCACTACGCTTGAAATGCCCGATAGCGCCCTTCAAGAGTTGGCAGACTCTTGAAATGCCCTGTTGTCAGCTGCACGCATGACAGCACTACCTGACAGCCCCAATCTTGTTTGTCCTTCCTCCCGAATTTTTTTTTTTTTTTTTAATCTGGTTTGTCAGCCGAGACTACAGACCATGACACCGGCACCACTGTCTTTCCATGCCTATTTTTAACTAAGGGCTCTCATGGTTTGGCCGTTCACAGGCGCAGGGGCACTGACGGGGGCGGGCCACGTTCACGGTACCGGCACTGGTCACAGCCACAGCCTTCCGAGCCTCTAACTTTTGAAGGCTTTGGCTCGGACCCCACCGCCCGGCGGCTGGAAAAGTTTTGGCATGGAAGGGCATTTTCGGACCCCACCGGGCCGCCAGGAAGTTTTCCAGAGGTCTGGCGACGCTGATTTCAGACCCCACCGTCGTTTTCAAAACACCGCCAGCCGTGTTTCTACATGGCTGGCGGATGGAAAAGGCTCCGCCCGCGGCTGGCGCTCTTTTCCAAAACGCCCTCCAACAGGGTAGGGAGGGCAAAGCGCCAGCCGTTGGCATTGGAGGCCAGCGAAGAGTGGTGCAGTGAACGGGTGTCACGGACATACGTTTGGTCCAGGCCGAAACAGCACAAGCCAACCCGAAAGGCTAGCATGTCCTCTGGTCCATGCAGGCCGTCCGTGCTTTCCTTTTCGGGAGGGGCCCTCTCAGGTTTCCTAAAACGGCAAGCGAGGCCGTTTCCAAAACACCACCAGAAGTAGTGCCAAAAAGTTTCCACTGACCTTGGCCAGCGACCGGCGGCCAACTTCCTTTTCCAGCTGCCGGGCGGTGGGGTCCGAGCCTTTGAGAGTGACTCTGCCAGCTCTTGAACCGGGTTTCAGCATCCTGTGTCAGGAATTCATGCAGCCATAAGCGTTCCCCCCAAATTTTTTTATTTTTTTTTAATCTGGTTTGTCAGCCGAGACTACAGACCATGACACCGGCACCACTGTCTTTCCATGTCTATTTTTAACTAAGGGCTCTCATGGTTGGCCGTTCACAGGCGCAGGGGCACTGGCCGGGGCGGACCACGTTCACGGTGCCGGCACTGGTCACAGCCACTGCCTTCCCAGCCTCGAACTTTTGAAGGTTTTGAGAGTGACTCTGTGAGCTCTTGAGCCGGGTTTCAGCATCCTGTGTCAGGAATTTATGCAGCCATAAGCGTAGTGCAGCGTGGCCATTGTCAATCCAAATAAATCCTTTGGCCCTCCCGGGCCCACATGCTTCTGTCACGGCCCGCAGTGCTTTCATTGCTTTTCGGACTCGGCGGTGTTTTGCCGCCACATATTTTTTCGCCTATTTGAAACTCTAAACTCGTTTGCGCTGCGGCCACTGTTGCCCCCGTCGTCTGCCTACAATTCACCAGGCACCCGCGTCAGTTTCCGGGACGAAACAGTCTGTCACAATCCCTTGTTTGTTGTCCTCTTCTCTCTCTCTCTCTCTCTCTCTCTCTCTCTCTCTCTCGCTCTCTCTCGCTCTCTCTCTCTCTCTCTCTCTCTCTCTCTCCATCTGTGTGTGTGTGTGTGTGTGTGTGTGTGTGTGTGTGTGTGTGTGTGTGTCTGCCTACTATTCACCCGGCAGTTGCGTATGACCATATAAATACAGACTGTGTACACAAAGCAGGGTTACCCGCCCGAACGTCTCTCCACGCCCCCGTCTGAACTTTTGGGGGTCAGTCTGAACCCTCAGGGGCTGAACTTCCCAAAGTTCGGCTCCTGCCAAAAATAATTCCGGGGCCTAACCAATTTTACTGTTTTTTAATTGTTTTTTGGTGCATTCTGTAGCATTTATGGCACATGCTCATAAATTTTCAGGCTATTTCGATGATCCGCGTATAAATGAAAAATCGCCAAAGATAGCGATGTCAAAAATGTGCTCGCCCACTCACTATTTTAATATGTGTATACAATATACTAGCTAAGCGCCCGCAGTGCGGGCAATGCCTGCAAACAAACAAACAAACAAACAAACAAACAAAAAAAAACAAAAAAAAAAACAAAAAAAAAAACAAAAAAAAAAAAAGTGCGCATGAAGCGCTGCACCACACACAAGTGACACAAACCATATGCACCCCCCCCCCTCTTCGGACTTGGATCCACATCATGCTGCACCACACACAAACCCCAAACTGCGGCCGCTAAGAAGTGCACATAATTTTTTTTTTTTCTAACGAATACTCAAAAATCGGGGGGCTTCTCGGTGCACTTGGATCCATATCTGGCTTCACTTTTTTTTTTTTTTTTTTTTTCTTGCAATCTTTTTTTGAATTATAAAACCGGGAAGCGGGCCCGCCTGGCCCGGCGTCCCTCACATGAATTCCGTAGTCGAACCAGGCTGGGAGAGGCACTTCCGGCCAGTCCCATCCCCAACCACGGACCTCCAACAGTGAAGACGCCTGTCTTCAGCCCATCCCGTGCGGATCTCCAGTTGCCAAAAAGGACGAAAAGTTTTCACCACACACCAGCATGAATGTTTTCATTTTAATATATACTCAGGAATATATGTATTTTTTTTCAAAATTCAAGTAGCCTTCGGCTATGTTGCACGTAGGCCGCGGCCTGGTTCGGCCACGGCCGAGGCCGCCCGGCCTAGGCCCCGCGGCCGAACGCGGCCGATAATTAAAAATTAAAAAAAAAAAAAAAAAAAAAAAACGGGTTTCGAGTGGGGCGGGGGTCCCCTACCTCCTCGCAAAAAAAAAAACATAAGAACTTCAAAAACAGGGGGGTGGGTTTCGATGACTAAAAGAAAAAATTAAATAAATAGAAAAAAAGGGGGGTAACTTCTTTTTTTTTTTTAACATCTCATTTCCCTGCAAACAACAGATATTCATTTCCAAAAAAAATACACGTAAACTTAGGGACCATATATCTCGATTTTTTTTTTTTTGTTGATTGATTGATTGATTGATTGATTGATTGACTGGTGGGGGAGTGGTCTCCCCCCCCCCGATTGATTGATTGATTGATTGATTGATTGATTGATTGATTGATTTCTTTATTCGATCTTTTTTTTTTTTTGTTGATGGATTGATGGATTGATTGATTGATTGATTGGTTGGTGGGGGAGGGGTCGCCCCACCCCCGTGACCACGGGCGCACACACACACACACACACACCCACACACACACACACACACACACACTCGCGCGGCACACACGGCGCGCGGCACACGCGCACACACACACACACACACACACACGCACAGAGTAGAGCGAGAGAGAGAGAGTATTGTGTGTGGGGGGGAAGGGGAGAGAGAGAGAGAGAGAGAGAGAGAGAGAGAGAGAG